AGAAAATTTATAGGAATGCTTGCTCAATAATATGCAATTGACAAGTGATGATAACAACAATCATTTGGATCAATGGGTTTCATTAAAGAAAAGTTCTATTGTACAAATACAATCAACAGCATTGTTGCATTTAAACTTATCAACTTTTGTCATTGAATTAACCATCCCTCGGTAACGAGCTATTTTGAAATAGGGCCTCAATCAATCATATCAGAGGCTACACCCTTAAAACGGCCAAAGTTCTCCGAATATTTTTATTTTTAAGATGATCTTTCCATTTAAGGCAATAAAAAGTGTCCGTACAGACCCATAATAAGTTATGTCGATAGTCTATTACTGACTGGTAAGCAGTATCTGCTTCCACTTTACGGTGTTGAGCACTTTCAAGAAAAATAAGAATAGGTTTCCTATTTAATCTTGGACTTATCACACTAGTTTTAAGCCATCCAAGCAACCGGTGTTACGTATATCCTTTGCTCGGTTGCAAGGTTTAATTAACATGACATCAACTATACAAGTGAGCGGTTATTTTCTTTGGGTTAGACATATCATTCGATCTGAAACCGCCAGAGCTTGCTTATGTTTAAAAAAAATTTGATCACGATTTAGCTGAATTTAATTTAGATCAAATTAAAAAAATTATTTATTCATTTTTTCTGTTTTCTCTACATTTCTATTTCTATCAATATAATAAAAAAAAGGAGTTTTTCAAAATAATTCATAGTTGTAATTGTATTGACGCACCAAACTCTTCAGAATCTTTAGAATATAGTCCACAAATTGATTCAAATAGTAATTTTATAAGTAATCCATACGGAAGTAATAGTTATGATCCGTTATTATTAACACCAGAATTTTCAGAACCTTCAAATTTTGAAAATATAAATTTTAATAATTTTAATCAACCCGAAATATTTAACCTGAGCGATTGGTTTGGATACGATGGACAAATACAAAAACAAACAGCAGACAACGGCATCAATAATGAAATTTATAAAAACATTTATTATGGTTATAATAATAACAATCTTTATTTTTAATCATTTTTATTTTTTATTAATTATTTTATTTTTTTTTAAATTACTTTTTATTATTT